TGCTACGGCCCATTGACCCCAGCTGGGATCTGGCCCCATTGACTCCAATGGTGCTACGGCCCATTGACCCCAGCTGGGATCTGGTCCAGTGATAGTGAACACCTTTCTTTGCATACAGCTCTCTCTCTCTCTCTCTCTCTCTCCATTTACAAGACACAATGGGATACCAATATCACACCATCATTTAACCCCCAGCTGGCTTGTGTGAAGCCTCTTGCACTGCTATGGCTTCCCCTGCCCCCCATGAACCAAGGGTCTCACCCCGTCCCCTGGGCATCACTTGACCCCCCGCCCGCCTCCTTTTCTCTGCCCTGCCTCAGGTCCAGTCTGAGATCCGGAGGAAGTGGCAGAGGTGCCAGTTGGGCGCGAACCTGCTGGAGAAACCCGGCCACAGCTGCAGCCACGGGCCGTCCTGCCGCTGCCAGCAGGGCAAGGCCTCGGAGGGGGGCTGCCCCCGGCGCCCCAGCCCCCCGGGGAAGAGGGGAGCAGAGGCGGAGTCCAACTGCAGCTCGGAGAACTCCACGGGCGGCTCCCAGCTGCAGCAGCAGCAGCGCCGCCCCTACGCCAGTACCGCGGGCAGCAAATCCTACTGCTACATCCCGGTCCAGACGCAGCCAGCGGGCAGGCTGGGGGGCAAGGAACTGCTCCCCAGTGCCAGGGAGCCTGGGGACAACAAGATCTCGGAGAGCTGTTGCTAAAATCAAACTCGGGGCCCTTCCCACCTGCTGGCCCAGGGGCCGGGAGAGAGGAGCCGGGTTCTGGACTCCTTCAGACTGTCCCTGTCTTGGGCAGGGGGCCGTCACTGAACCAGTAGGGATGGAGGGAAGGGGGCGTTGGGGGTGGGCATGGCGCACAGGGTACCTGGATACCTTCACTACCTGGTATCCTTTCCGCAGGGCACGGTGCCCCCCTGGAGTGCCCGTGGACAAATGCCGTGGGCGCGTATGAGTCCACTGTGGCCCACAGCTGTTGCTGAGACTCGGGGGACGTCCAGCTGGGGTCAGTGCAGAGGCACGTCTCCTCGGGCCTGAGGTGGGCACACCCAGCCCCCTGGGAATCCAGCCCCCCACCTCCCTTGTAGGGGGCTCCCTGGATACTGTGGAGCTGGCATAAGGGCCCTGCTCTCAACCTCCTGTGTAGAGGCGACTCGGGGCGCGGCCAGAGAGCACTGCACTGTGGCTATTCCCCGCCCCCACGAGGGCCCATAGGGGGTGGACCAGGGGCATGGCCAGATAGCACTGCTCTATGGCTATTCTCTGCCCCCCGTCCCCCTCAGGCCAATAGGGGGCGGATAGAGGGTGGAGCTGGAATCCACTGTGCTGTAGGTATCGGGCCCTTAGGACGTGGAGCAGCAGTTAGATCACCCCTGAGGTCTCCCTGACAGAGAATAGGGGCCAGGCAGGGCCTAGAGAGTGCATTGGAGCTTAAGTCCACCTCCTGCCATCCTTGCCTCAAGTGCAGAGATGGGGAAATGGGCCCTGGATGTGTGTCCACCTCTTTTGAATGGCCAGTGGCTCCTAGCCTCGGTGACACCCTGTGGCAGCGAGTTCCACAGGTTAACTGTATGTGGCATTAAAAAAGCGTTGATTTTCTTGCATGCGTTGCCTTTGAATTTGATGGGATTTGAACCCGCAGAGTGTGGGGTGCTACCTGTGTAAGTGCAAGGCTTATAGAGGTGAGTGGGAGGGTGTGATGGGTTGGATCACAGAAAGCCCTTTGGGACTGCCAACTGATGTGCTGAGACTACTTCTAACCCGTTTTCCCTGGCCGCTTGGGACTCCAGAACCTTGCCTGTTTGAGCCAGACACGCTACCCTGCTACAAACCCAGACCCAGGTCGGAACCACATCCCCCAAACGCTGCAGGCTTAACTGAAAACAGCTTAAGAAGTGTTCCTGTCTCCAACACTCAGATACCCAACTCCCAATGGGGTCCAAACCCCAAATAAATCCGTTTTGTATAAAGCTTATACAGGGTAACCTCATAAATTGTCCACTCGCTATAACACTGATAGAGAGAGATGCACAGCTGTTTGCCCCCCCAGGTATTAATACATACTCTGGGTTAATTATTAAGTAAAAAGTGATTTTATTAAATACAGAAAGTTGGATTTAAGTGGTTCCAAGTAGTAACAGACAGAACAAAGTGAATTACCAAGCAAAATAAAATAAAACACGCAAGTCTAAACCTAATACGGTAAGAAAACTGAATACAGATAAAATCTCACCCTCAGAATGTTTCAATAAGCTTCTATCACAGACTGGACACCTTCCTAGTCTGGGCCCAATCCTTTCCCCTGGTACAGCCCTTGTTCCAGTTCAGGTGGTAGCTAGGGGATTTCTCATGATTGCAGCCCCTTTGTTCTGTTCCACCCACTTATATATCTTTTGCATAAGGCGGGAATCCTTTGTCCCTCTCTGGGTTCCCACCCCTCCTTCTAAAAGGAAAAGCACCAGGTTAAAGACGGGTTTCAGAGTGGTAGCCGTATTAGTCTGTATCAGCAAAAACAGTGAGGAGTCCTCGTGGCACCTTAGAGACTAACAAACTTCAAGAACAGACTCCAACGTGAAACTGCAGAACTGGAATTAATTTGCAAACTGGACACCATTAGATTAGGCCTGAATAAAGCCTGGGAGTGGTTGGGTCATTACAAAACCTAAACCTCTTTTCCCCAATACTAATTTCCCCTACTGTTACCCACACCTTCTTGTCAACTGTCTGAAATGGACCACTCTCATTACCACTTCAAAAGTTATTTTTCCTCCCTTGGTATCCTGTTAAGTGAATTGTCTCGTTAGACTGACCTCACACTTGGTAAAGGCAACACCCATCCTTTCATGTATTTATACCTGCTCCTGTATTTTCCACTTCATGCATCTGATGAAGTGGGTTGTAGCCCACGAAAGCTTATGCCCAAATACATTTGTTAGTCTCTAAGGTTAAAGATGGATTCCAGTTCAGGTCACATGATCACATGTCACTGTAAGACTTCATTACCCACTTGCCAGCACAAACCTATACAGGAAGACTTACAAGTAAACAGAGCCATCTGCAGTCAATTGTCCTGGTTGATGGGAGCCATCAAGATTCCAAACCACCATTAATGGCCCACACTTTCCATAATTACAATAGGCCCTCAGAGTTATATTTGATATTTCTAGTTTCAGACACAAGAATGATACATTTATATAAATAGGATGAACACACTCAGTAGATAATAAGCTTCGTAATGATACCTTAACGAGAGACCTTTTGCATGAAGCATATTCCAGTTACATTATATTCACACTCATTAGCATATTTTCATAAAATCATAGAGGGTGCAACGTCACAGAGGGGATCCAAACCAAAGTGCAGGGGGCTGGTCACCAGTTTATCCTTGTCTCCTGCCAGACCAGGACGATTAGCTTATCTCACCTGGTGTCCTACCTCCTGCCGTTGCTCAGACAAGCAATGGGTAAGCGTGTGACCAACCCCCACTCTGTTAGTGTGCCGTACTCCAGAGCCTCGGACATGGGGGCGGGGGTGTAGAAGAGCCTCCAGAAATTGCACCGTCTCCCCCCTGTATTTAACTGAATAAAATGAAACCATGGCGACAGCGCCTCATTGCCACGGCCGCACAACTGCAGCAACAAGGCGTGGGGCTGCCTTCTAGCTCGCCCACAAGGTAGGGGCTGCACACCCGGGCTGCTGGGCCATCTGATCTGGGTCAGGATGGGCCCTGCTGGCTTTAACCCAGTGGCTGGTCAGACAGAGGGAGGATACAAGGCCTACTCCTGGCACCCCGGGGAGCTCCATCCTTAGCTCCAGCAGCAGGGCCGGGGCGGGGACCTAGGTCTGGGTCTGGAGAAGGTGGGATCTAGGCCTTGTTCCCCGGGCGTGGCTCACAGCTGCAATGCCCAGGCAGATTCCCAACTGTGGCTCTCCGGTGTCCCGTGCCGGCCACTTCCCCCCACAATGGGACAATGGGCCCCAGGATGTGGGATCTGCCCCACTATGCCCCCGCCTTGGAGAGGAAACCCCTGACTATCACTGATGAAAGAGATCGCAGATAGCGCATATGGGGGGGGCTGGGAGGAGAGGTCCAGAGACTACAGCCCCCAGAATGCCCCTGCCCTGGCCAGACCAGAGACTACAGCCCCCAGGATGACCATGGGGAGGGCCAGAGACTACAGCCCCCAGAATGCCCCTGGCCTGGCCAGGCCAGAGACTACAGCCCCCAGAATGCCCCTGCCCTGGCCAGACCAGAGACTACAGCCCCCAGGATGACCATGGGGAGGGCCAGAGACTACAGCCCCCAGAATGCCCCTGGCCTGGCCAGGCCAGAGACTACAGCCCCCAGAATGCCCCTGACCTGGCCAGACCAGAGACTACAGCCCCCAGATTGCCCCTGACCTGGCCAGACCAGAGACTACAGCCCCCAGAATGCCCC